GTTGTCGAAAAAATGCCTCAAACTTGCCCAAAATATCTGAAAATTCAGTGACCGTCTGTGAAAGAAATTTCAAACTTCAGTGACCGGTGCTGAAACTTTGAAACTTCAGTGACCGTTTTGAAATTTTCAGGTAACTTCAGTGACCATTTGTGAAATTAACCCTTATAACTATTCATATTATAAATAAATAAAATTGAATTATGAATAAGTAAGTAATACTTATAAATCTTACAAAATATATAGATTAAAAAATAATTTGACCAATTATAAACTACTTATAAACATAGCCAAACATAGGTTTATCATCACTCAGCTGGCAAATTATTTACTTATTATAATTAAAATATTTTTCTACTTTACTATTAAACTAAGTAATTATTTTTATGTAATTAAAAACATGTCCAAGTATCTATTAGGAATGATGTCAGGGGGTTCAATATTTGGCTTAAGTTCTATTCAGGGTAATTCTAGTGGTAAAAAATTAACAGGATTGCTGGTGGTCTAATCGATCCGATTTTCTCAATTATAGGATCTACGTCTACACTAACTATCATTTCACTCAGCCTCAATCATGTAAATATACTGTAATTTTGTTGAATTAGAAAACTATACATTCAATGCGATGACTTTGTCTAATTCCGGACTGGCGAAAATAAATGACTTAGAAGTCATAGCAGATGTACAAATTGATTTTAATTAAATTGTATATTTTTCATGTTAAAATTAAATTAAAGTGTAATTACTTTATTGGAATCAAACTATTTCAATAAACAAAATATTTCAACTTCTCGCTTTATTTACTACTTATTTATTTCTAAGTACAATTTAAATTTAAAATAATAATTAAAAAAAAAAAAGGATTTATCTACGAATCGGGTAATCTTAGCTCCGAATACGGCGGGGACAATTTTGCCATTCCAATTAAATCCAAAACAATTGGACGGTTGAAAGTGAAACCACCCAAGAATTGGCGGTTTTTCATTTTCTTAGGGGCGGGATGGGGACAAACTGCGCTTTTTTCCTTTGTAGTATGCAAATCTTACTTCGACCTCCAGCCATGGCCCCTAGTTTTCCTTATCCTTCTATACACGTATATATATCTCTTCCTCTGTGGTCTATCCTCAAATTTTTCTCAATCTTATCAACTATTTTATTCTGACTTTTCTTCGTTAGATTCCCATTCTTCTTTACAGATCTTGTTATTGGATCGGTAATCGAGAAAACCCAGAAAAAATATCTTCATAAACGACCCATTTTCCATTGAATTTTCTCGATGACGGAAAGTTTGATGAGTCGAATTAGGAGACCAGATGCAGTTGAGCATGCTGATAGGGTAATTAAGAAGAAGAGATGCAAGAGAAAGGTCAGAGTTGTACTGAAGAGGCCTATGCCGAGGATTTCGATGACTCTGCAGAGATTATTTGAATCGTGCCGAGAGGTTTTTAAAGGCCCTGGGACTGTTCCTTCTCCTCGTGATGTAAAGAAATTGTGCCATATTCTTGGTGAGCATTGCACCGTGTTTTCTATTAGAATTATTTGTTGATTCTGCTTTTATTTTCGATCAATTTGAATTGGGACTGTAGGGATGAATTTCACAGTACTGGAACTGGTTTTTGATTTGATTGGTATTGAGAAAAAAATTATTTATTTGATGTTTAGATGGTATGAAGCCAGAAGATGTTGGGCTAAGTAGGGATTTGCAATTCTTTAAACCAAAGGATGTGGTTGAAGGGAGCTCAAGAGTTACTTTTACAACCATCTACCAATGCGAAAATTTCTCGGTAAGATTTCTTTTCTTTTAAGGTAACAAATATGGTATCAGAGTCCATCAAGCATTCAAGCATCAACGAGTACTTTTTAAGATTAAGGTACATTCATGCCATAATGAAAGATCCATCTGATTTGCTAAGCTGTCAAATTTCAAGATTGGCGAGCATGATTGACTTTTTAAGATGGAATCTCGTAGTTTGATCCACATGAAGCATGTATTTTCCATGAACCAAATGAATATTTGAGGATTTACAATGAGTTTAAGCATGATTATTGATATGTTAATCCTGATTCATGGTTTTTTTTATTCTTTTTTTTTCAGCTATGCATTTTCTTTCTTCCTGCAACTGCTGTCATACCTCTCCACAATCATCCGGAGATGACTGTTTTCAACAAGCTTCTATTAGGTACAATGCACATTAAAGCGTACGACTGGGTCGACCCTCTCAATCCCAATACCCCAGCTTCACCACCTTCGACATGTGAGTTATCTCTTCTACGCACTCCTCACACCCTACATGAATTTGCAGTATCTAACCCCGAGTATAATATGCAGCGAGACTGGCAAGAATGAAGGCAAACAGAACGTTCACTGCCCCGTGCAATACTTCTGTACTGTATCCAACTTCTGGAGGAAATATACACGAATTCACAGCAGTAACACCGTGCGCCGTGCTTGATGTTATGGGACCTCCCTACTCTAAAGACGATGGCCGGGATTGCTCGTACTACAAAGACACTCCATGTGGAGCAGATGGTTGTGGATGGTTAGAGGAGATTGAAATGCCCAAAGAATCAGAAATGGATGGAATTGAGTATTTGGGGCCAAAAATTTTCGACTTCACTACTTAGCTCTTCCTTCTAGTAAATTTTCCTATGTAGATTGATCTGAACCTGTATTTAAAGTTTTAATATGCATCATATTTTGACAATCTCAAAAGGTACACAATGTTGGCAAATAATGATATTACGGTGAATTGATTTTGGACAGAATTACGACTTGTGAAAATGAACGATAAAAAATGTTAATGGTTGAGTTCGACTCTCTCTCCTTAAGACAATAATGCTCCGCACTGACAGCCTGCTACAATTTTATTCATAGTTCCTCATGTTATTACGATAAGTGCGAAAAACCCGACTAGTTTCTACACATTGCCCAAATCAAAAGTAAAACTAAACAAAAGGGAAATGATAGCAAGAATTTGGTATCAATTGTAAGATTTTGAATCCAGATAAGCCTTGAGGCGCCTATACTTAACGGGACTATCATACCACGTGGGGGTATTAAGTATTTCACGTTCAAGCCAATATGGATCATCGTCCTCTTTCTTCTCTGTCAGCATCTTGAAGAACATTTTCCACTGATACATGGCACGCCTTAGACGGTAGCTCTTTTGTCCTCCAAACAGAAACTTGATGTAGTCTCTAGCTAATACAGTGATATCCGCACCATCGATGATGTAAATGTACTGAAACAAAGTCAACATACCCGATATGTTACCTTTAGGAATAAATAAAATAAATAAATACGAGCACACTATTGAGCAAGATGGAAAATAGTTCAATTTCAAGCAATACATGAATGAAGTAATGATATAGTAGACAGACAATGAGAATATTTATTTATCTTAGCCTAAATATGAAAAACTGCAAGTATTAATACAATTAGTAAACCATGTGGCTAAGTTTAATCAGACTTGTACTAAGTTTAAATTGGATGGAAAATGTAAGCAGATAATCTGTTCGTGGGTTATATTTTTATGCAAGTCAATTTAAGGGATATATTTATGCACTTGCCTAGCACGTGGATGGAGAGATGGAGGGAAGAGAGTACCAGAAACACGAATCCAATAGTTGCCAATACTACTTGCATAAACTCGTCCAACATCCCAGAAAGACTTTCATCTTCAGATTCACCAAACCCGTCACCACCACCACCACCACTGCCACCTGGAGTTTTTCCACCATTACCTCCATCATAATATTCCTGTTTCTGAATCTGCTGTTTCAAAACATCCTCAACTGACCGTTCCTTTTTCAAATTTCCCATGGCTTTCTCAAGAGATTTCCATGGAGAAGCCTGGTGCCATGTCAATAATAAGAGAACGTACATTATCCTAAAGAAATCAGTTCATAGATTTCTTAATTTCATAAGGGAAACAGAAGGAAATGGACTATGAAACAATGATTAACAAAAACCAGTTTAGCAAACAATGGGAAGTGAAAGATTCACACTTTGTAAGGCTCTTAGCAAAGCATGTATCCCCTGAAAAAATGAACATTTGAAACAGGTGAACCAGCCTTAATATAAGAAACAGATCAATTAAAAGTTAAAACTGAACTCATCATATCTAGGCTAGACAGTAACTGATACTGAAACTTGTTTGCTCTCACAAAATTTAATAGGAGAGAACATTTACCACAGTTAAACAATTTATGATGCAACAATAAGCTGAAAAATTGCAAGTTGTCAAGATTCCTACTGCCAGCAGCAAAAGAGATAGCTTTCAGATTTATTTCACTTTTGAACAATCAACAATAAAGAATACAGTATCATCCTCAAGACAATGTTTACTGAACAGGACATGGATGGATCAGCAAACAAGAAGAAAGTGACATAACTTTCTATATACAAAGTGTATGCTCAACTCACGACAATAAAAGATTACAGCAAACCCTGATGATAGACATAAAAACCAAACAATACTTTACAACTCTTCCCAGTTAATGTAGAGGTCTTTTATATTCCGCGAGTTCTCTAAGTTGGATCATGATATTTTGTTATATTTTAGGGCACATTACCAATCTCCAGTTCTTGTATTGCAATCAGACCATAGAGCCATAGGGCAGCAGTGCAATTGTAACAAACATTGGAAATGAAAGGTTCACACTTTGTAAGGTACCTAGCATATCATGTATACACAAAAAAGAGGAGGAAAAAAAAAGAAGAAGAAGAAGAAGAAGATTAACAGTTGACAATGGAGAACCAGCCATAAACTAAGAAACAGATCAATTAAAACTCAACTCAAGGATTCACCCATTCAATCATTTCCTATAAGGCTATAACAAAAAAATATAGACATGCCAACTAATAGCCACCTATTGAAGCAGTGATATTAGTGGAACACACTTCTCTGAAGACTGGATTCATATTGTGTTGTTGCAGAATTAATGGAAGAAAGGACTTCTGAAAACGGTCTTTTGTACTACAATAAGGTCAAAACAACCTCCTAATCAAGCAAATCACACGAATCAGAACCATTTGCAAGCAAGATCATCAACTCAGCATGAGAACTAAAACCTGCATCTGCAATCGGCTGGTCTACATGTCACGACGTGGTCAAGCAACGAAGTATAGATTAGCTTAAAACAAGTGAAATTATAGTTAGTTAGTTTGATAGCACTAATAGGAAGTCAATATCAACCAGAATGGTAACCGTTGAGGAGTAACCAATGCAATCAGCCAAAAGTTCAAAGAATCAGTCCTGCAAACTTTAATTCCAATTCTCTCAAAAAAACATGTTATCTCTTATGTAACAACTTAAAAATGCTTGATAGACAAATCAAGAGAATCTCAAGGAGTCATTTACCTCATTTTCACTCTTCCCTTTACCACCAAATAAACATACTGGTGCAGAGCGCTGGTGCCTAAACGCGGCAGAGGTCCGTTTCAGGGAAATCTTAAGAATTTTCATTCCCGGGTAAGTTGAAAACCATGTAGATTTCTTATCAAGTAGCAAAGCCTGTGGTCGAGATGCAGAATTTAAACAAGGATGGCAGGCAGTGATATGAATACAACTCATCTGGGCGTCTCTCTGTATTGCACTTGAAGTTCTAACACATACGGTGTTCTTGCTGTTAAAATTTGACTGCACATCCAACAGCATTGAAACTAGTTTGAGTTTGCGTCCATAAAGATAGAAACTGAAGTCCTGACATAATTAAAATTGTAAAATCACTAATGATGTATATGTGGCTTATATAGAGTGGACCACAGGTTTACCGGATCAAAATGACAATGTCAGAGC